CTATATGTAACCTAGATAACACTTCTGCATTTATCGTAAGGTCTATGTTGAGTGATGTATCACCGAAACATATCCATCCACATTTAGCCGTATAAGGCTCCAGTTGCCATTTTAAGCACCACTGTGCTATCTTGTTAAGCTCCATGCTAATGCAATTTTGCATATTTTTCAGCTCATGTGGAGAAAATGAATATACTACTTCATGATCATCTGCATATAGAATGGGCTTACCCACACAAAAACTTTCACAAATATGATTGATAAACACTAAAAAGAGAAAAGGGCCTAAGACACTACCTTGTATTACACCACTTCTAACAGGGGCAGCGTTAGACAATGAAGAGTTAGTTTTAACAATTTGATGTCGATTGCTGAGAAAGGAAACGAGCCAAGCTAGCAAAGGATTTTATACCCCATAAGATGCGAGTTTACCTATAAGAAGTTGATGGCTAACCATGTCGAAGGCTTATTCCATAACATTTATTACAATAAGAAATTCTCAACACCAGTTGTTCAATAATTCAACAAGCCCCTCTTTAACATACGTTCACATCAGGACTATTCAGCTAAATAAAAATTTGTTATAGTCAACACCTCTCACTCGTCTTCAATGGAGTAAGCTTTACATCTGCCATAACTATTTTTCCTATTCATCATGTATAAGATGCACACATTTTGATGTATTCGTTTTTTTCAAAGGATAGACAAGGGTAGAGATATACCAGTAAATGTTGTGTCTTTGATTGAGTTTTCCAGTACTTAGCATCGCAATAATTTGTAATCCTATTATTATTAGTACGTGAGTACAAACGGTTAGTATCCATAAGTATTTAGTTCAAAAATTAACTAATATTTGAGCAGTTTGAAAATAGATGCTCCGTACATTTAAGTATGTAACTTTTGAACAAGTAGATCTTCACCACACAATATCTGTCAATCTAACAATTATACTGAATACTAATAATAATTATGTGCTCACTAATGACTAGCTACAAGATGGAATTCCTAAAGTTCTAGTGAGGACTTCTAAACAGTAGAATTTAAGTAACTTCAGTGTGAAAGAAGATGGTTGTGGAATATCGTGAATTGATTTATTTATGAGATATACAATATGAGTAGCCGGCTCAGTGGTCTGGAGATTAGGGATTTGAGCACGAAAATGGACATCCTGAATCCGGTCTCATGTGGTAAGGCCGTTGATGTGCACTGACAAGGAGTCCGACACTATGATTAGACAGTTGTCTAGTGCTTTCTAGTTGTCAGTGGTGCTCTGGCTAAGATTACTTCGTGGTTTAAACCGAAAATCCTACAATCTAGAAACCCCCCTCTGTACTAATTATACTGAATGAATTAGTATCTGTTGTGACTTAAACATCAAGTGGCTGAACCAATAAATTCCGTACAAAAATGAAAAAATTTTGAAAAAGTAGGACATAATGTCCGAGTATATGAGTAGAGCAAATTAGAAAACGAAGAGCCATTATCTGAAAATCACTCAAATTCATTAGTTTGACTATACGCTATCAGTTAACAAAAATGTATTTCACAAACTTAAGCTTACAGAGTAGGTGGAGTGTGGCTAGAATGAGTGTCTTTTCGGATTTGAAACTCGTCATTTGTATGTACACGGTCGAAACATTAAGTCAACATATCAACAACAGGATAATTCAAACTCGCACAAATTAAATCAACTCAAATCTATTTTATGACCTACTTTGTACGAATCTCTTAAATATTTCTAAAAGCGATTATCATATTTAGGTTTTTGTTTGGCCTATAATACTTGAAATTCAGGAACGACTGATCTATTTAAATGCAAACGGTTCTGGTGCGGACTCGAGAACAGTAATCGACGTATAATACTTCAACTATTGGCCGCTAACACATGAAGCGTGTAAAGTGTAGAAAAAACTTGATCTTCAGTCAGGAAAATATAAAACTCAGTTTATATAGTGATTAAATTATGACTTTCAGGTACATATAATTTAGCGAGCTAAAGATTGGTGCCAACCAATCAGAGACAGGCTAAGGTCTCGTAAAAACCTGAATAGGGTAGAAGCACTCACGGTTATGACTTCTTGTAAGAGTTCAACATTCTTAACAAAAACGGAGTAACCATGTGATCACTGGAGCAAAATCACGAATATATATCATTAAGAAATAAAGATGATTTAGTCTCTCATCAAAATTCAATTAATACATGTCAGCGAGCACTGAAATATAGTATATAAAAGACAAGTCATTTTACTGCCTTGATAAAAACAGAATTTGGTCATGTATTGAGCCGATATTCGAAAGAATGACATAACAATACAGAAATTAATGTGCTGAAGGCTTTTCTTAACTGAATATAAATATTTCGATTAGTTTGTTGGCTTTGGTCAATATTCAGTGTTCATTGATCAGTCACATTTATTCGTTTGAATTTTAGACTGACTTATCAGCAATTGTCCATCATGAACAGCTCCGGTGTAGCACCGTTTGATATGGTGAGTGAAAACCACGAATATATCCGAAGCTGAAGGTTGAAATGATATTTTTTTAGTGAAAACTATACCTTAACATGTAGCACTCACCACTAGGTAGGCAGAAAAAATAACCAGGTGTTTTGTGTGACAAACTTGGTGGAAGTTGTGGATTTTCTCAGTCGTCTTGATATGATGGAAAGAAAAGTCAAGATTCGATTGATTTACTCAACATGAGTTTTATTCAACATTACTTCTGTTTTGATTCAATGTAATGATTACGCAACGTAGTATTTATTTTCTTTTCTCATATGATATTTTATCCTGTATAATATACGATATTTTTGTATTCCATTGATCTGAACTATGCTCTATATGTGATTTGTGATAACTGTGAGTATTTTACATATATGTGATTTTATTCTAATTCTTAATCAAAATGGGTGTTCAATCAATATATGAATGAGTGTGTTCTTCTACTAAGTTCATCGTCGTCATAGTGTTTTGGAATGAATAAATCTTCACTTATACTAGTCTTTGTGTTCTTACTTTAGAGTCGTGGGAATCGTGGAGGTCCCTTCGTTTCGAGTATAAGTGTTCCCGATATAACAATCAGTGACGACCGGATAAACAAGTAGCATTCGACTCACAAGTTATAACACGTCTTAACACTGATCCAATTCATATTAACTACCTTGTGCAAGATGGAAGACATTTTCAACATGAAATTTGGACACGACATCGCTATTGGATACATATCTGGTCATTTGACATTAATTTGTTTGGGGTGAGTAATCAGGTCTCGTGAACTGTTATTAGTCTCATTGAATAATTCAACTTACATTTGACCATTCCTATGAGTTTTGATTTGTGCATAATAACCACAGTTCGAAGACATTTTCAATATGGAATTGGGACATGACATCATACAATCATAATAATGAGAAATGATATTCTGAATAGGTTTGTGAATAACCTAAGTGAAGTGGACGATTCATTCTTTTTAAAAAGACGCTAAATTTCAGCTTCAATGTGAAAATCAATCGTGCGGTGTAGCGGACACACCTACACCTGACCAGCCCGAAGTCAGACCGAACATATATCGCGGATTACGCTAATAGTCGTAATCTAACTATTCGAAAGGAAAATTGTGTTTTATTCAAGTTTATTGAGTTCCTAATTCATTTTGTAGATACCAGTTTCACGTCTCAGATAACTAGATAACCTCCATTGATTTACGCATCATTTAGAATATTTTGGTATTAACATCATGGATACCATTCAATCTGACTGAAAATATTGTTTACTCATAGCAAACATCTAAGCAAGTCCATTCTTGTTTGAACTGCTTCAAAGTAGAAAAATCATGTGAGAGTCAAATACGTTATTTTCAATCAAACTACTAATTAACTTGTACTAAATCAAATAATTCATTATCACTTTCAATCCTGGCACACTTTCTATATGTATGTGAGAGTCTGGGTATTTATTGAACTCATTAAAAATTAAATTGGTCTAGAAGAACTAATTGAACAATTATTAACATACCAACTGATTGCTAAATCAATCCAAACTCCTTACAGTATAATTGATTCATTCTATATTTATTGCTTAGTACATAGTAGTTAATGTTTCAAATGTCACACTGTCATAATTTCTGTTTCAATTAGTATAGAACGCTGTAGAACAATCTTATTCATTACACATTTTATACAATTATTAATGCAAAGAATAATTCACAGGAAATAAGCACCATTCAAACACTAAACTACGAAAAATTATTAAATAGAAAAGAATCAATAATCAGACAATATTGTCATATCATCTAATATTCTTAAACCGATAACTGTCAATCTAAAATCCGATAATCTCAACATATAACAACATCAATGTATTATTCACTATTCATTTTCATGAGACTAAATTATCAAGTAATAAACACAATCACATTGCTTACAATTAGTCACCACTCTCATTTAACTATATCATCTCACATCCAACATCATTCCACCTTCAGCAACTATGCCAACATCACAGTCAGTATTCTTCAAATAAACAATCTAATCAATGAAAAGTCAGTCACATGCACGCTGAACACTTGAAAGTGTCCAAAATGTAGTCAACAAAAGAGAAATAAATACTCGATAAAATAAAAATGCAGCAAAACAAAAGAAAGAAGGTTTCTGATCACAATTCCTCGACAGTGGAACCATAACGGGCAACACGTCCATGCCCGTTTGTTTATCCATAATATATGTGAGTGTGAGTGCCTACGTGTTTGTGCCCATATATAAATGCATGTATGTATGTGTGTATGCATGCTTTAGCGGCCTATGTGTACAGATAGATAGTTGAATAGTTGCATATGCACGCATTATATACAAACACATAGGAACTCAATACAGCAAACAACATACATACACAGTTAGATAGATAGACAAATTGATAGATAGAATGAGAGCGAGCGAACGAGAGAGAGAGAGAGGGAACGATGCGTACATTCGGACAGAGGTCAACTAAGACTTCTCATTCCGCTCAGTCAATGCACTGTTCAACAAATTCCAATAGACGACGACCGTAGAATTCCGGTTTCACAGAACCACCATCAGCACCATGTTTCACTGTTTTGTACGTTTGCGCTGTACGTTTACGCATTCCATAACGAGTTAGTATGTCGATAATAGCCACAAAATAGATCAGTGGATGAGGAGAATCTGTCAAACAACAAGAAAAACAAGATAACACAACAACATAATCCATATGAGTAGCAACATGTTTCATCAATACATATATATCACAAATCTTTACTATTGAAACAATGTCTGTCGTTCACGCACTTCACTCAAACATCAGTCATTCAAACGAATTCCATGTACCGTGTGCATGTGCACAATTATTCAACAACAAACAACAAACTGTTATGATAAACACAAATCTCACAGAACAATCGGATAAATACACATGGCAAAACACTGAATAGTCTACACCTAGAATGTCCTCGTGTCTACCTATTTTACACTGGACTTTAAGGAGTGCACGAAGCAGTCTCGATGCTGCACATGTCTCATCTATTCCCCTTTTACAACACTAACCGACCATAACTGATACCTCAATATGATGGCCATGTTTCCTTACTGTGATGACTCAATCGAACTGTGTTGGTTCGGACAACTGTTCCACTAGCACTCACTCCCCCATTCCAAACAGGTCGGTTGCACCGTCATTACACTAAAAGCACCAACTCAAAATCCAACTACGAGGTCTGTTTCTCACTTTAGTTCTTCAAATATCAATGCACAAATATGTTGTCAGGTTAATCAAAACAAAAAAAAACCGTCGATTTCTACCTCACACCATACCGATACAGCCACTCTCACTGAAAATGTTCACATTTGACACATACGGTTTGTAGAAACGAGAATTAATGCTCCACACATACACACAAACACACACATAAAACTTTAAACATCTTGTATTTCATTGCAAAAATACAAACACAAAATATCCTCTTACCAATTGAACTTTTGATTCCATAATGTTCTAAAGTAGGATGCAATTCACCTGAGAATAATTGAGGTAGACATTCTGCACCAGGTGGACTATCGGGTGGGGTCAATTCACCTGAAACGAACAACACACAGAAGGTATACAGAGAAAGTCAAATCAACTATTGAACTGCATCTTCGTCTATCTTCAATTCTTTCCGCACAATTCTCATACAATCAAGCAAACACCAGCCCATTCACGTGGTGCACAATCCCATCAACTATTCATCGACACACAGTACATCACCTCACATCCATGCATTCATATCAATCCAATCAAACAATCTCATCACTTCGTTCACCTACCACTCTGTCTATCTATCTATCTATCTAACTTTCGTCCTTCCTTCCAATGTCAGGCATCGTAGTACGCACTCGCTACACTTAGGTTGACATCAAGGCCACTTGAAATCATCAAAAGTGGAACAAGATACAAATTACCGTACGAATAATACATCAACGCACAACACATCCAGGTCATCATACATGCACAATCTTATTCACACAAACCTGTCAGTCAGTCAGTTAGTCAGTCAGTCGATGAAATCCAATTACAATTATTACGTTAATTAATGCTAAGATAGAGTAGTCAGTCAAATTGAACTCTCTAACAACAAATGGAATAACACAACAATAACAATATCACACCTACTTGTAGGGACTTGTGTATTGTTCTCTGGTATACTGATCCCGTCCTCCTCTTCATCGTCATCATCACCTGTGCTCGCATTCCCAGTAACAACACCAACACCAACACCAACCCCGACACCACCAACACCACAACTAGCAGCTTCGGCAGCTGCTGACGAGCTCAGACCAAGCACAATACTCGACCTAGCCATAGACAAACGACCACATTGCCATTGTGAACTAAGCGTTCCCAGACCGTCACCTGCAGACACCATCCTGTCATCGAAGCCTCGACTGTTAGGCTCCAACACACCACCACCACTACCACCAACGCCCACACCACCAGTCCCTTCACCGTCATCACCAGCATCCTCAATTGAACTAGCCAGTGCAATCTCAGGATTATGCACACCAATAAGAAGGCTATAGTCGATCAAATTGTTTTCCTGTAGGAACTGTCACGAGACAAAAGAGAAACAAACAAACAAACACAATCACAACATCATGCATCACTAAGTAATTCAATACATTCGTGTCGAATGTCTACCACAAATGGGAGGAAGACATCAACAATCAAATGCACATCATGTCAATTCCTTCACTGAGTACATTGATTAACTATTCAACCAACTCGTATTCAGTGTGACACCAAACAGTCGTTCGACACTTGCTACTCAGATATCATTTCATAATATACAATGCACTAATGATACAACACTGATCAGCGTTCAAATACAATCGTTGCTCATTCATATTTCGAGCAATAATGAAAAGCCACAATTAGTTACCAAAACAAGATTATGGAAAAAACTGTTTATTACCAACTCAATGATAAACTACTGTCAATTTATTATCAGAACACATTCTCTTACAGCACTCATCATCGTCAATCAACATACAATAATCTGTGCGGTTGCAATAAACAACAAAATGATCAAATACTAGTGGCTTACGAATATCCTCTACCCTCAATGGCTAAGTTTCACAGCCGTAGATTAAAACAGAACGAACTGATGAACAGTATACTTGTCCTTTAATTGATAGATGGATATCTTGTCTTCTTCATTTATTTATTTAAACACATAAACTTTGGTACAAGGAGGCACCAAATAGACATGCGCCACATCCATCAGTAGATCTATGATAAGGTTGAATAAAAATGGAGACGGACACCACTTGATGTTGCAAAGTCAGATAACAGTTCGCCACAAGCTCTGACTCAAGTGGTGGTGTTCGACTAAAGAGCTTTCTTAAGGTTTATGTACTTCTGAGGTACATCATTCAATGACGGAAACTAGCACAGAATCTCTCGGTCTACAGAATCAAATGCTGCATTCAAGTCAAGAAAGACCACCATTCCCGGACGCCGATAAGCATGTCTGTGTTCTAAGACCCGACAAATGGTTAGTATGTGGTCGATACACTCACGACCAAATCTCAAGTCAGTCTGGTTTTCTCGTGTTTGCACTTCACGAGTATTTGTTAGGCGCCCGATAATTATTGAGGCTAGCATTTTATATGCTATTCGGTTGAGTTTTAAACGGGTTCACATTACAACATAGCAAACCAACGTAGCATAGCTGTTATTAGCAACGTTCTAGATATCCACGTGTAACAAGGTGTATCAGAATATGCTACACCGATCTCATACAAATCACACACACATACACACAAATGGTAGGAGACACTCAGGATGAAATCAATCCTAATATTAATTGGACGATTCCGATCACCTCCCGTTCTGATGCATCGTACACCTCTCTACTCAAAGAGATCTTGACCACTGAACATATATGCACAGATTGTGGCAACACACATATTGGTATTCATTACAGTAATAATAGTAATGGTTGTGAAACCTCAGATGATCAATGAGTGCAATCAAACTGTTACGCCGTATAATAAACACGATTTAGAACGAAATAAAATGTCAAGACACCTCAACTGTTTCACGACGCAGCATAAGACATACAAATATCCAGCTCACATTAAATGTAAATTACAACGGTACAAAAACACTGAACACAATGTAGATATGCGCTATTCACAACTTCAATAATTCATACGTTAGTAATGAAGATTGAAAGTGTAGGCGTAGACAGTTGTAACACATCGCACCATGTGTTACAACCAAACAGTGCTCCTAGTAGTGTTACCACGTCACATGCTTCTTTCATGTGATGCATGCCGAGATCAGCATAGGAATTGCGGAAACACAAACAAACACAACAATAAGAAGGAGAGAAGCGAACTTTTCAAGGTCTCACTGAAATCATATTGATAAAACTATGTACACTTCATTAGCGAAAATAAGCGAAAAAAGACAGAGTAGAAAATAAAAGGTCAAGTTCATTTTCACCTTTCGATGTAATAAAAAGAAGAACAGAACAATGGGAGCAAATTAACTGACAATTAGAAGACACAAAAAAGATATGAGGAACTCAAAAGCTCAGACTTTCAGGAAGAGACAAACAGTAGATGAACCTGGGACATCGCAAACGATTTCCAGCCATGTCATTCAAAGTATCTGACCATTGGTTACAATAATCACGCGAACCACAACCAGCAAGTCTACACCCATTCACATGGCTCAGTCCAATTGTTAACAACTTTATGGACTAATGCCATGTTTTGTTTGTCGACCTCTAACTTTCTTCCATACAATTCCTACACCACACAACATTATCCGTTAAGATCGGTGGTGGTTGAACACACACGTAACACATGTCCCAACCACCTCAGTCGATGAAAAAAGCTAACGCAAAGTTCGGTCGCCATCTTTACCTAGTACCATATTCTTAACACAGGCATTGCTTACTCGGTTCTCCCAAAACACACCAGCAATGCTTCCAAGATGCCTACAAACAAATACTAGGAACCTAAGAATACTCTCTATTCTCAATAGTCGTATTTCACGTCCGTAAAGTCGAACGGAGCAAAATGCTGCGCAGCAAACACATACTCTGTTTAGCAGACGGATATCCCACTTGTGCCACAAGTTAACCAAGTTGACAAAAGCCGGTCCAGTTTTCTCAATCCGTGTAGAGACTTCGTCACACACCAGACCAAAAAACTGGTGGCACTTCTAAGATAAGTCAAGTGGTCGATACATTCAACTACCTCAACCCCAATCATTGATTCAGGCACTGATGCAACGTTCAGCATTTGAAGGTAGACATCTCATGTATCCTTTCATTGTTTCTTAAAATGGTTACAAGACTCTGCATTCTGTCAACGTCTTCACCAAACACAACTATACCATCCGCTTATTCTGAGTCAACAAAAGAATCCCTTGGTGGAAAATCAACCACTCAACAACCAGTCAAGGAATACAACTACATCTAGACGTAAAAAAGTATGTATATAATCCAAAACCTGTCGGAGAGTGATAGTTTTGTTCTATACATTCACATCCAAGTGTGAAATTAGACACGTTATCTCGAACTTGCTCTTCACGAGCCCAAGTTACGTCTCGAAGAACTATTAACGCTAACATTTTGGACACTATATTAGTTAAACTGGTTCCTTTGTGATTGTCACAAGCATAACTAAAGGCCAGTTGAAATGTTCCCTAAAGTGTTCTGTCAATCGATCCGATCTCCTGCACGAAGAGTCAATAGTAATCACAACTTTTCCAGAGATAATCTCACTAATAAACGGATTTATAATACTTTGAACAGTTATCTACTGTTACCTATCGACGATGTCTTTTTCATCTTTAAGGCTTTCACTACTCACTCACCACTGCTCACAATCATACTCAATATGCACTGTGAATACGAACATGCTCACGAGATTCGCACACACTGACACAAACATCTCGTCTCTCCTACTGCATTAAGTGATATGAAATCGACTAAGTAAATCTCGTCAGGGTTATGTACGAAGTCAATGGTTTATCTGACGGTCAAATCTTTTACAAACGACAAATATCACCATACTATGGATTAATAATAACACATAACGATAAGCAGCATACTGTACTCTCGAATCACAATAACTGCAACTATCCTCAATAGGAAACTCCCATCAAACAACACTGAAGAAGAAAATGTCACAATTATGACACAGTAAAATCAACTAATCACATGAAAATGAGAGGAATAACTATAATCATGATGATGACGATTATTAGAAATGGTGATGAAGATGGCACTGTCGATTGTAGGAAAGTGCATCCAAGTGTGGAATTCATTGTCAAGAATAACGTAAAACATATTCTTAACATTGTGAAATTTCGATTCCTTCTGAAGTACCAATGACATGACTACTTTAAGAGTACACAAGCACTACATGTGGTCTTGTCTTATCGAAAGTAACCATTTAAATGTGGAACTGTCACACCACTACCAACCACAAACTCTATACACTTTCCAACAGAAGACCAACAGACAGAAAGCCAATGGTCCTACTCATTCATTTCACAATTTCACCTCATTTCCAACTGGCAGTATACACAGAATGTAACTGTAAGATACCTTCCAAAATTTGTCACATATTTTAGAAATCAATCTACACAAAACCGACAACATAATGCTAAAACACATGCACCATGCACTCAACCAACCAACCAACCAATCAATCAGTCAAGCAAACAAGCAATCACCTACTTGTATATCACATTCCAGAGTACTTAACATCTTCTTTTTAGACTCTTCACCAATATGCATTTTGCACAAATCTGTTAGAAAATCTGCATCTTTCAGTGTTGGCAAGGGCTTCGACTATACAAATAGTAACAAAAATAAACATAAAAACACAGAACAATTAATACACAATGAAGTGAGACAAGTCAAGGTATGAGTGATTCACACTTACTCCGATCATTTAGTCTTAGTAGTCAGAGTGATTACGCAAACACATACACACACGACTGGTGGAGCTAATCCACTTATTACTCTCCTGATCAAACGAAACTTTTCTTAGCGTTAAAGTGAAAACCTACGAACTTGCAAACATCGGTAACTTACACGCATCCCAGTGCTTCATGTCAAACGAGACTACAACTCTTCCATAGTTGACAATATGTGAAAATACTGAAGAGTGAAATATCGACGGTCAGTGAAAGTTGAACTGCCTCCAAATCAACTGCTAACACTTTCCACAACAAGTATCAACTCTCACAGTTAGTAAACACCAAAGTGGTGGCTGAACAATGGTGGATTGTTTGAACAGAAATCTACTAAGAACGGTTCCCACGCCTAGGCTAGCACACACGACATTCAGGGGTTCGCTCATCAGGACATAAAAATGTGTTGATTTACAGACCACAATAGGTGGAAAGTGAGAATCCCATGATGATACCATACAATCACACGAGTCCTGTTGTATTCTAGATCCCTCCCCCATGAAGAATTATGTCTTAGAAGCTACTTCATCCGAACCACCATCTGGAATGGTTGGTAACAGTGGAATTCAAAAACTATGACGAACATTGACCCGTTTGTTTAAAGAAATATTTGGATCACGAATGAATGTTAATCAACCCCTAACAATAAGTTTGACACTCACACTTACAGTAGAGAAGCCTTCAAACAATGACACATCTCGTCTTCAATAGATGCCAACAAACTCAACCAATATCCACATCTCCACAGATTACTCAGTCGGTATCAATACTAACTTTCCAAAAGTTGTCGATTATCCTCCTCAACTCTTCTCAATCCATAAAAAACTACACATCATCAAATGAAACACTAAGACACCATCTTGTGTGACATGTACACCGTGGTGATGAGCTCGAACGCAGATTATATGCCCAAATTCATTTCTAATTATCAAGTACTTCCAGTAACAAAGTCAAACCAGTTCGACGTTCCACAAGGACCGACTGACATTAAATAATGATAATAGAGTACGCACAGTATCATCGTTAAGAAGTCTCTCCTTTCGGCAAAACGATTAAGAGGAAAAGATTCGCAATTCCACATCAAGTGAAAGTACTGCGTTTCCTCTCTGTCGTCTACAACAAGAAACGACAACCCAGTCACCTGAACATAATATTTACCACTTTCAATAATGGTGCCAAAACAGGATACATTCTATGCTTCATTATACAAATTCAACAATTAGATTTTACTGGTAATTTGTACATTTCTACTTTGTTTACACTCAATCAGTGAACGAAATAATTGGTATCACAAAAACAAAAACCAGAAACAAAATTAAATTCAATACACGTGATAATCATTCACAATGGTGATATATTAAAAGAGAGAAAATACTAATATTTTTGTTTAAATGCACAAATCCAAACACACGAGCATGTTGCAATGAAGCGACACAAGGAGGGGAACAATTGTGTTAAGGAAGAAACAGGTGGTGCACAAATGTTACAAAGTACACAACAACAACAACAACAACAACATAAAACGTTATTCAACTATAGTCAGAGAAAGATGTACATAACAATACGGCATGTACAGTGAAAGAGTGATATTATGTACAACAATCATATATTCACACGAAGCTTTGTACAATAAAAATGCAGCACCGCAAATACCGTTATTGTAAGTAGGAGATAAATAAATTCAATGTACTTATGACCATTGTGGCAATAATACCGACAGTTGGCGGATAAGATTACTACAAGCCAACATGATGATAGCGATGATAATTAGTGCCAATCATAAGTTGCAACTACTTGTCACCCGTTTTATACAACTGGCTCAACTGAATTCATCTAACAAGAGTAACAAGAAATGTAATCGACCAGTTGAATGAGTGGCAAAATCATGTGACACTAGCCACACACAACAACCTTAGACAACAGATAGTGTTTATGACTGACGAGTCATCACTGAGCAAATCGTCTTTACTTCATAATAGACATCGACGCGATTCTGTGTTTCACTTTCGTGTAAACAGTAAATTAATGGCTGGCTTGAGCCTCCAAACAAACGGTCTAGTAAGAGCTCACACAACTACGTTGACATGATCCCGTTTATATCACTATAATTTTAATAGGGAAATTCTTATACTAACCATCTTGTCCTCACTACTCGTTAGTTTTTCAATGAACCATGACTACGTCTACCACATCCGAACTGTACCAACTAAACATCCGACTTACTAGTCCACAAGATAATGCCATCTTCCAACTAAACCCACTGCATTCTCGAGAGTCGGACAGTACCCTTAGGTAATACTCAAGATGCATGACCACAGTGTTTTACTGAAACATGGTTGTGGTCAATAAAATGAATTCCTATAAACCATCAGTAGTTCTATTTTAATTCTCACTTTCATTTTCTGCGCATAAATATATACTTATATGTGGACTTATGACATTAACCATGCAACAATTCTAGAACATTATGAATGTTAAACTCTGCAACAATTCGAAGGAATGTTTCACGTCCTTAACAAAGCCACACATACATATAAACACATCCATAGAAAATATTCTATCTGTACAAACTCATTTCACATCATACTCATTTTAGTTGTTACACATTCAATTGTTATTGATCAATATGAATAAGACCTAATACTATGCAATCGATAATTCTAGAATGTACCGACTATACAGTAGAACATTAAAGACGAACTACGCAACAGATCGTAGACATCTTGCATCATCATTTCATTGCTTCATGTGTTCACAAAACCATGCAGCCCTTAGATAAAACCTCGTTTCTATAAGGTCAATCTTAGTTCAGAAAATGACTACCTTACATTCAGTCCCGAGAATGACACGTGATAGTAGAAAAGCTATTGATGAAAACTCCTCTAACAATTTTTAACCAACTATCCAGTCAGTAGACTTCGAGCAGTCTGAAAATAGGAATCACATACAATATCTTCATTGTACAATACTACACTGTCAGACACAGGCTCCGACATCATAAGGTATTTTCTTGGTGGATAAAACTTCAAGACCTATAACAAGCAAAGTAATGTCACATGCCAAGAAACATTCTATTTCACATACATTTAACAATATAATCTGATAATGCTTAATTTCAAATTGTACAATTACATCGTATTGGAGAAGGTGAATGGCAATTAGTTAACAATTATAGACAGTCAGACAGAAACATCCGTACTACAATCTGCACATTTCCTAGTCTCTGTATTCGTCATTATATGTAGTTTGCTCACGTCTAAACAGTGTTTCTGATTGGCCTTTGCTTGGAGTGTGAGTAAGAAGTTATGTGGTTAGGTTTATAGCACCAAGCAAATCAGACACCCTCAACACTTAAGAAAACATTATTTCCTGCGGTAATTACCATAATACAAATTTACCAACTACTACTCATAAACAAGTTGTCTAAGTATTATTTAATACTTGAAATTCATAAGATACGCATTACACCATTCAACTGTGCGCTACGATCCGACTGAGTGGTTAGTGGACGCTTCGTCAACCAGCTATACATATAAAGTAGACTGTGAATGCAAGGAAATCTGTACTGGCAAAAGCAGAATACTTATGCTCACAACCAATGTGTATTTATATCCACTTGAAATGATCCAAACAGGGACACTTAGACGGTGATCTCGGTCAGGTGAATAACTCACCTTGACTAAAAGTCAATCCCATCTATTCTATGCGCTGCTCGGTATTGTCTGCCACATCGCATTTCACACTAATTCCTTCATTCGAATAGATTCGTCATGCTATACAAAACCCGACTATTCAATTTAATAACATCTCCAGTCATCGATATTACCAACAATATAAGTGTAAGGATGAAGATCAACACTGGATCAAGAAACTACGGTGTTCTTCTCAATATATTTCGCACAAATACGAACAAACAGTTGACACAGATAATCAGACTATGGTCCTCGGTATCATAGCATATCGATCATACCAACTACCACCACAACTATGTGTACACTATACTTACCAGGTAGAATAGATAAAAACAAAGTGTTTTCATGACACCATGTCTAAGCGTTTATCACAGCAAACATTCAACTACAACGCGTATACAAGTGTTTCAAATGTCTCGTGTTGATAACCACATAACAGAGAAATCAAGTAATAACATATCTACCTAACACACTGAAAACAAATGCACAAACACATTGCATGCAAACACAGAAATTGACTGATATCACAGAGACAGAAACATCACAACAGTGAAAAAGATCATGAACACAACGATGATAATGACGAAGAGAAAGAAAATGATGTGAGCTCACCTTCTCCTTTTCGTTGGCTTCACGATCCACAGCTGAGCCCTAATTACGAGGATAAGGATACAGTGTATGGACGATTAACTCAACAAGTTGTTGGGCAACACTAGGCAAAACGACACTCGTTAGATGATGAGTACAGTCCAAAAACAATAGTCGAGATAGGTGAATGATTACCACTACAGAGACAAAAACAGTAGTTAGCACCTACGTCCATGAGAAGTTACATACGAATCAAACTAATTATTACTTGAAAGTTTTCACCAAAAGCAGAATTATCTACACAAGGAAGGTAACCTTGTGAAAATACGATCGATAGGTCTTCATTAAAAACATATCTGTTACCGTTTGCCAGAATATTGAAATAAGCAAACCATATGGAAATATGAAATTTGTCTCAACAATGCGTCCAATTCACCTCTAACCGGTACAACGTGTCTGTATGTTTGTCTCGAAGTCAAACTCACTGTATAACAGTAAAAACTAACATCTGGATAGCATAGTCAACGTAGAACAGGATTTATAACTGAGATCTAATGGTTGAAGGCCAAACAGAAAACCCGTTGCACACAAGTTTAACCAATGTTTAATATCCTCACAACTGTGATCACTTTCCAGAACTTGGTCAGCTAGACTTGCAGCCAAAAAGTGGTTTGAAGTGTCAAGTGTTAAATATTTAAAAACAGCAACACAAAACTTATTCAACCGCATCATAAAGTAATCAAATCCCAGTAAAGCATCCACATGATCTCTACAAGTTAAAGAAGTGGAGTCATGAGGGTAGTAAGAGGAGTAAGTCAGAAGAGAGGTGAATGAAAAAAGCACATTCTACGTCTATGGGTATCAATACCAAGGTTGGACTTGATAGTTTCAAACAAAATGAGCATTGAGTAGAAAGCTGACAATAATGATAACAATACAATAGTTATGTATTTGTGATATCCCAATGAACGGAATTCTGGATTTCCAACGTTTCTTGACTAATTGTAAATCACCTCTTTAAAGTAACAGAATTAAATCAACACAATTTTAAATTGTATAAAGGAAACAAAGCAGAATACTTTTGGTATAATCAAAATCAAGGTAGGTCTGAACGTGTCAATGTCATGTTATTTTTGGTCAAGGTGATTCCGTATGAGACAACACGGTGTTTATTTGTGTGCATGATGGTGGGTATATAAAATATGTAATTTGTCCTATGAAGGAGTAGAGTTAGCATTTCAGCTGTGTGTGTGTGTGGATGGTGTGGGAAATGAATAGAGTTAAATGTGGTTATTTGAAGAAAAATTCCAGGCTGGATGCATGGTCAAGCCGTTTTTCCTATTGAAGGAAGAGGGATTTAGTATCATATGCAATGTTTCAACTAATCTCCACTCTAGAGCTGGAAAAACCTTCCTACATTATCTTGATATTTTTAATATCGATTCGGTGATTTTTAGAAATAACATGTTCTGCTATTCACGATATAATTTCCAAGTTCTCTATCCCTACAGGATTATTAGGTCTTTCATGTGGCTTAGGTGTTCCTTGACAAGAGTCAAGATCACACAAGAAGACTCTCCAATATAGAACGCATCACATCAACACAACACGATCTTGTCTGGATGTAAACGGAGTCTCATCTTTCATTCCAATTTAAGAGTTTCGTGGAGTATTGGCTGTTGATTTTTTCATAGAAAGCTTCGATTCTATGTTTTCAAGATCATTTGTAATTCTTCAATCGCACCTTGGCGATAAGGCGAATCCACAGTGCCAATCAAAAACTTTCGTGGATGCACACTGCTGAGGAGTCCCACAATAGGACGAAACGGCCGTCCAGTACTTCCAGGTTTTCAATGGTGGTCTAACATCAATCGGTTCATGATCTCAATCAGAAGGTTTCCATCAAAACTGTCACTTATAGATGGATAATTTCGTTCTAATATGTTTTTAATAGTAAGCTGTTGATTACATTGTCTTTGTCCTCCATCTTGACCTTCATTTATACAGTGAAATTTAGATTTCCATTAGGATTTCTTTAACGAAACAGCCTAAGAACAGTAATTCGTTATGTCCATCTTCCGTTTCAAATGTAAATTTGATGTTTGCTGAGAACGTGTTTATCAGTTCAAAGAAATTTCTCAGGGGAATTTGTTTAACGAAAACAAATGTGTCATCTAGATATCTGAGCCTGATGCGTGGTCTGATGGTACTGGCAAAAATAACCAACTCAATATGGGATATAAATAAATTAGCAACATCCCGAGATACTGAAGGTCCTATGGTCACTCCACTTGTTTGCTTATTTCAAGTCCCACTGAAAGTGAACAGAATTGAATCCAAACATAGTTTGAAAGATTTCATGATTGGACTAGTGTTTAATGAGCATCACAAAAACATGATTATTTTATCATTATATTCTACGTCTGTTTTTTATCGACTGATAACTGTTCCACCAACTCATACACAGAAGTCTACACTCACGGTTTATGTGACCACCACTTACATGAACAATACTAGTTGGAGCAGTAAGTAAAACAAATTTCAACCTATTCCATGTGACTGAGTTTCACAAACTATATCAATCGCAACATGTGAATGTATGCAAATAATAGAAAATACCTGCCGCTCGATTGATTTACGTATCTTCAAACTGACACCTATGAGATCAACACTTGATTCGGAAAACACTCCGACCTCCAACTACACACTGTCTCATCAGTAATATCGCAAATTTATATCGCGTTATATAGAAATTATACTCACTAACTCAACAGACGTCATCACCAGTGGTAAGTCAACAGGCACACAAAAACACTCACAGTTCTCAATTACTTACGTGACAAAGTTAAAATTACACAATTATTTATGAAACAAGGATCCAAAAACATAACAGGATTTATGCTGCTTTGCCACTTAACAACTGCTTACTTATTTACAACCTATCTAGATTAATTGTCTAGTCAGTCAGTCCATTGGTTAGTCTGTTAGTTGTCTAATGTATTCGCCCTTCTAAGTACGACTGGTATACTCACCGAATAAAATCAACGAACGCAAACAACCACTTGGTTGGCGTTAAGTGAATCATAAAACACTCATGAAACGTTGTAAGTGTGCACAAATAGAAAATAAAGTGTTAAAAGTATCTACACTTCGTCGTAGTCCTGTGTAACAATCACAAGGAAAATAAATACGCTCACTAAAAAGAGTGTTAATAGTCAGTAACTGATACGTTATTCACTAATCCAAACACACTGAAAAATCTCAAGTGCATGTGAATAATAACTTCGGAATCTACAGGACACTGACAACTAAGCTGCTTTTCCTATTCCGTTACACACCCAATCAGTCGAACACATACACAAGGATTTTGGTTAGTTCAGTGTGAGTAGCAATAGAAAGCTAAGCATAAGAGAACAACACACTTCACACCATCGGGGTATTAGAAAGGAAACAAATCAAAAGGTGAGCAGGTTGATGCATGTGTTAAGTTACAATAACATGACATACACCTGTGGTACTTTGAAACGAATGCTTTTTAATCCGTAGACGACGTTTATGCTCCTTGTCTAAAACTGTCACAGCATTGTCAATGTTGATCTTGGAACTCGACAATTGAGTCGACCCATGAGCGAAGAACGAATGAATACTTACAGAACGTTTCACATGATGACTTGAACACAGAATATTCTACAGGTGAAAATGCGGAAAGCACACAAAGACAAATAACTCTGCACCTATTAGAGTAAACTACACAAAGCCATACATACATCCTCACTATGTCAAACTTACTCATTCACATTTAAAAAATTCATACACACAAAATCAATCACAACTAACTAATAATCAACAGATCGTTACCTTCAAATCATATTTCTTGTGAATCGCAAGTCTTGGGCTGAACACATTCCTCATTACTAATATATACGACTCCTGATCATTCACTGTAAGTCGATAAAGTCCAAGAAATTGAGGAAGCAGTGTTTGACCGTGTCCTTTGACAATATACTACAAGAAAGAGAGACACATTAAAAGATGACAATCAATCAGGCGGCATGTCAATAACAGACGATAATCAAAATTCGAATCACACTAACAACAACACCAGTTCAACATTTAATTGTTAGACATTCTGACATTACTGCAAAAGCAAGTGTCTTTTTCGATGCACACTGGAACCATCTGTTTGGTACAACTCAATAGCAATAGCGTTTTGTGATGAATTACGAGCAACATTTACTGACAGCCTTTACTCATCAAATTAAACTACACCGACAGTTCCAGGAAGTAAATATGAAAATGTCTCGCTCCGACTGTGACGACTGGAACCAATGCACAAGTGTGTCAGCTTTTACGTTGTGTACAACTCAATGACTGACACGCTTGTTACCTATTCGATCCCTACGTCAATACGATTAGTAGATTGTGTAGAAGTAGGATAAGTACAAGCATAAACCCCCGAATGCCCTGGTATGGCCGAGGATAGGTAGAGTAAGCTATACCTCTCAAAATGCTCTCACATGGCCATGTGCATACAACCACTACCAACGAAGTCCTACTAACTGCCTTCTCGTGGCGGGGGTGTTGTTTACGAAAATGAGAGGACGAATAGTGAATGTCCGGCGCTTTAACTCGATCCCAAACCAATGGTGCATGTGGGATTCAGGATCCTGATTGAACAAATGACGTGTGAACCTATTGTTGGTCATCAGCTACCACGGGACTGCATCTCCTTAGGTCGCTTCACTGCCTTGCGGTTCAGACCTTTAGGTCAAAGGCTCCGGGTGTGCTCTCCTAAGAAAACCACCTGCTTCGGTCTGGGCACCCAGGCAGTATCACAGTCCACACACAAATCAAGCGTCTTTGTGCCAATATTTATGTCTTCAAATAAATAAATCAATAAATCACTCTCAGCAACTCACATTTCCTCTCGTTTCTGCAAGTACAGACAACCACTTTTAATTAAAACATTCATCACTGAGATCGATTGACAAGACAAATAAAAATCACACTTTAATCGAATTTGTCTTTCAAACATCTACAAACCTCATCTTGCTACACTGTACCGACTTACTTCAAGGAAACAATCAAATTAGTTAGACAAAGGAATCAAACGAATGCTTCACTACTTGCCTTCATCATCAACAAACAATAGTTGACTATAAATAGACATTCGCTTTGGCAACACTAGCAATTCCCACACACAACACAACTAATATAAGCTCAAAGAGTTTCTAAGCTATCTATGATACTCATTATCTGCACATCTGGTGTAAGGTGTGTACAGCTGAAGTTTGCTTTCACAACAACTTCTGTATTCATTAAAATATGGTAAAAGTATAATGCACCAACGTAGGTGGGAAATACTGGAACAAGGAAGGATCCGATCATCTCATGACACTGTAAACATTGGAATAACAGAAATGTAACTAGACAATAAAATTTATGGTCAACCATTCACAGATAAAATTGCACAATAATCTCCCTCTGCAAGAATCCAACGGATGATCATCTCGTAGTTGAATCCTTTGGCAGACAGTTTATAATACTTAATCAACTCAATAAGTAACTGATCAATGAATTTTGTAAATCTTCCAAAATGAACGTGCTCATGCTAAGTGGGTCGACAGTAGGAGAATATGTTGAAAACTAACACCAATCAGTCAGTAACTATTGGTTTCTATCACATAACGTAACACTGACTTCCTATCGCCTTACTACTAGTTAATTGACTTCTACAGATCATCACAAATCACTAATGATGATGATAAAAACTGATGATAACACACACTCTAACATTGATTCCGCTAACAGTAGTTTGTTCAACTTTTAACTGGATGCACTATCTCATCCCAACATAGTAACATCCGGCGACCAAAACCAGTGCTTCACTGTTGTATCAGATTAAATACCAACCAAATAATCCACTCTCCAGTTAGTATAGCAAATACTTACAGAATAGTATTCTTCTAACATTTGATGCATTTGTTCAACTTCTTCTGAACTGATTGTCTTAGCCACAAATTGTCGGTTATACGTGACTAGGAATTTCGATCCAGATTTTCCACGTGTACTATCCCACAATGGTTGGTGTCTGGTGAAAGAGTCCTGAAGTACAAATCAGAAATAGAAGAACTCTGTATACTAATGACAAATAACCAAATGTAATCTATTTATGAGTACTGTTCGTGATGACCAGTCAAGAATTGGTCACTCTGAATAGGAATCGGCATATTCGACGCCTGCAGTAAATACAATGTTATTAAACTCTGGATTCGTCAACACTATTCCATCTAAAAGTGAATACTTACAATGCTCTACTTTGGTCGACATTCACCTTGCACTACAATCAGAACAGTTTCCTGACTCTACTCAGTGCAGCGATCATTTGATACAACGACCTACTTACATCATTCAGTATCTGAATACACACTCAGTACAGTTAAAATATAAACCGACGAACACTAGTTGACATTTATGGTCTCTTTCATTGAGTAGTACTACACCGACGAGTAATGTAGCTCCCATTTAAAAGGCTACCAATTATTAGAATATATTAAGTAACAACTCATATCATTCTCACCAATTCAAGTTCAATTACTGTTCATTCTGCCTTTATTGTGAACGGCAAACATTCATACATAATTAGCACTCAGTCAACAAATACCAAACGAACCACTAATTTCCTACACAATTTAACAACAATAGTTTTATGATATTGAACCCTGTTAATTCAATGTTGGACACAACCAATCAATCAATTCTACATTGATATCACCAAATAAGGCAACTTATTCAAAAGAGGTAGAATGGGAAACGATACAAGATAATTTTAAAACACATCACATGTTGTACTGTTCATTGATAGAAACACGCGATTCACTTAATAAAATTAAAAGCTAGAAAATGGATATGACACGTCAAGTCCCATATGCGGCTATTGACAAAGTCGACAAAGAATTAGGCCGACTAGAGCAGCTCAGTGTTATACAACCTATCAATTATTCGGCATGGGCATCACCAATTGTAGTGGTTCAGAAAGCGAACGGAGCTATTCGCCTCTGTGCAGATTTTTCAACAGGACTAAGTGACGCTTTACAAAATCATTCATACCCATTACCTTTACCAGATGATTTATTTATGAAACTGAACGGTGGACGTTAAATCTCTAAACTTGATTTATCTGAAGCTTACTTACAAGTGGAAGTTGACGAATATTCAAAGGAGTTATTAACTATTAATACCCACCGTGGACTCTATCGATTTAACCGATTACCGTTTGGTGTTAAGCCAGCCCCAGCAATTTTCCAGCAAATAATGGATACTATGGTGTCTAACGTCGAAGGTGTAGCAGTTTACTTGGATGACATTATAGTTTTTGGCTCTCCTGCGCAGGAATTAATGGGTCGGTTAGACGTGGTGCTCACAAAAATATCACAAGCCGGTTTTCAGTTACAAAAAGAAAAGTGCGAATTTCAGCTCGAGTCTGTTAAGTACCTTGGATATATACTTGATAAAAATGGTCGTTGACCAGATCCAGACAATATAAATGCTATCAAAAATATGCCCAAACCGACTGAGGTACAACCCTTCGCTCGTTTTTGGGGATGATTGGTTATTATAGTATGTTCGTACCCCATATGTATAAATTGCGATATCCATTAAATCAACTCTTGATGGCTAATTCAACATGGAACTGGACAAAGGAATGTCAAGATTCTTTCGATGAAATAAAAAGGATTTTATCTTCTAAACTGTTGCTGACTCATTATAATCTTAAGCTTGAAATAATTGTAGCCGCTTCGAACTATGGAATTGGAGCTGTTATCAGCCATCGTTTTCCTGATGGTAAAGAAAAGCCAATTGCTCATGTATAACGAACTCTTAACTCAGCTGAGCGAAAATATAGTCAGATTGAGAAGGAAGGACTAGCGTTAGTTTTTGCAGTAAAGAAATTCCATAAAATGATTTATGGTCGTCGATCTACTCTCTTAACGGACCACAAGCGGCTTTTTGGATCGAAGTCAGGTATTCCTGCATATACAGTGAATCGATTACAATGCTGGGCTATTACATTGCTTGCTTATGATTTCTAAATCCTATATAAATCAACTGAAAAGTTTGGACAAGCTGATGCTTTATCCAGATTAATTGCGAATCAGAAGCAAGAAAGCGAAGATTCTATTATCGCGACGATATCGTTGGAAAATAATGTTCATCATATACTACAAGTTGCCATAAAAGCAACACCGTTATCCTCTGAAGACATTAAACACCATACTCAAGAAGACGATGAGCTGAGGCAGATTATTCGATACCTCGAACATGGTTGGCCTACCCATATAGACAACAAAAATATTGAACAGTATTCTCACCGTCGAAATTCTCTATCACTTGTGGATGGGTGCTTGATGTTTGGAAATCGAGTAATTGTACCTTCAAACTTACGCCGTAAGGTGATGTCAGAACTGCATGCTGCACACCCAGGGATAGCACGGATGAAGGCACTTGCACGTGGGTATGTATATTGGCCGAATATTGACGCTCAGATCAAAGACTATGTTGAGAGATGTTCCGCGTGTGCAAAAGCTATCAAAGCCCCTCGCAAGACAGAAATGCAGAGTTGGGGGACACCAGAAAATCCGTGGTCGAGAGTACATGTGGATTTCGCAGGTCCCATAAACGGGAAACAGTACTTGGTGATTGTTGATGCCTTCTCAAAATGGCCAGAGATCCACTGCATGAAGTCTCTTTCGACAAAAGCTACTATCGAAAAACTGAGACAAGTATTCAGTTGCTTTGGGTGTCCAGATGTACTGGTGTCTGATAATGGACCACAGTTTACCTCTGCTGAATTCTCAAAGTTCTGTGTCGCAAACACCGTCAGGCATATAAAGACACCCCCATACCATCCGCAGTCAAATGGTCTAGTGGAGAGGTTCGTCGATACGTTTAAAAGAGCACTGCTTAAAGCCGAAGGAGAAGGGGAAATAGAAGAGATTATCCAAAGATTTCTACAAACCTACAGAGCAACACCCAACCCAACAACAAATAATCAAGAAAGTCCAGCAGAAGCAATTTTTGGGAGAAAGATTAGAATACCTATAGAGCAAATGAAACCAAAACCTACAGCCAAACTCCGCAAGAACAAACGAATGGAACAGCAATTCAACAAGCGACATGGTGCATTGCCCAGAAGCTTTAAGGTGGGACAAGCCATAATAGCAAGAGATTTCGCGGGAGTAAAGCCAACCTGGAAGTTTGGCATCATAATACGAAGAAAAGGGAAGGTTATCTATGAAGTAAAAGTTGGACGAAAGATATGGGTGCGACACGCAAACCAGATGCAGCCAACCAGACAGGAGCGGGAGACAGGAAATGATATAAAGTCGAGTATACCAATAAATATATTAACTGAGTCGGATAATGAAATTAAAAATGACCCGGAAAATAACAGGACACATACAACACTCCCCAGGAGGTCGCAGCGTATCAGGCGGAAACCTAATCGAATAAAAATAAATCCTAAGGATCGTTATTATCTCTAATGCTTCAAAAAAAAAAAAAAAGGGAGGTGTTATATACCAGTGAAGATTAAACTACAGGTAACTTTTGAGGACTATTAATGGACAAATATTCTATAAATATTCTTATTGTATAATTATTCAAGAATTACATTATGTGTATTTATATTCCACTTATTATAAGCTTTATTTTGACCCATAGATTATTACTATACGATTTATTATTCTTGAGTTATAACCTGTCTATTAATTACTGTCTCCCACATTCACAGCCACTTTTTGGCCTATTTGTGTACATATGTTATTTTCTATTTTATGGTACGTTGTGGTCTGCCTGATTGATATATAAACCGAGTATGTCTGAAATAAATGATTTTGGTTGATTCGGAAGCTGCTTTTGTGTTCTGGACTCAAGAGGACAGGTTAGAAGGACGTAGGACCCAATAGGACGCTAGACTGCTCAGACCGGTTGAACGTCATTGGCCTTGTCATAGTGCGAATATTCGTATAAGACGTATTCTGATTGGTGTATAAGTCACGTGATCGTAAGCCGGACATCAAATCATAACAACATGTTCACTCATCAGTAAACAGGGACTGATAATGACCGACCTTAAGAAGAAGGCAAGGCTGATGGTGAGAATTTAGTGACACTAGAAATAAACCGACAGCAGATACCAAACTGATAATTTGGTCTGCGTCGACGTCTAAACTAATGGTAGGGTGTGAAGAAGTTCAGTGTGCTGACTACTTCACTTGTCGCTTGGAAGTCTCATCATTACGGGTACGTTGCCATCTGATGAGATTTCTCTACGAAGTCAGAAATCTCAACTGACCTCTGCCAATTTGCATCATTTGTGGGGTTGTACAGATGTCCGCCTTCCTAAGTATGGGTAGTGGTTACTGTCAAGCACTCCGCTTTAAATTACTTTACGGATGTGAAACAGACTTTAAAATTAGGAGTCATGGTTAGGTTTCAAATTTTTGATCATAGATGTCTTTGAAGCACTGTTCTGATTTCGTAGAACCACCGAGTAAACAATGTCGAGATAAAGTACGGAGTACTACATAAAGATGGTACATAGGTTGATGAGATCATAAATCTTCATTGATTGATGTAGTTTAGGCGTGTCACATATGCCTAACTAACGCTACAACACTATTTCGATCACTTTTACCCTTCATCTTTCTAGTTTCATCCCGTTGTAACAATGGGATATAGCTACTTGGGCCAGGGCACATCTATGCCAGGCTCTACGTCGATGATGAGTGACTGACTCACTGATAACCACACCAAAAATATACCATTATATATGTGATTTACTTATGTGGTTAAAAAATAAAATTTGTATACCCTGAGCTAGGCAGTAGTTAATATAAACTAAAACAATAACTAAACACATGCATACAATCCACATTTACAATAGATTTAATTGCGTTGACTAACTGTGATACAGCTAG